CCCTTTCTCAACAGCCCAAATAGCCCTTAATGCAATTTTGAGAAAATCAGAAAAATATATAATTTTTTGGTGCAAATGTGACCTATTTTTTATTGTTACTTTTCCTTATCACAAAGCCATGTTAGGAAAAAAAAAAACATATGAAACATAATTACTATAGAAAGACATAATCACTGTTTAGTCATCATGATACTCTGATGATTTAAAGTTCATCAAAATAAAATTATCAGGCTGATTTAAAAATATAAAAAAGAAAAAAGAACTGATTAAGCCCCAGCAATTAAAAAAAGAATCATATAATTACGACCAAACAAATGATAAATCTATCAAAATCGAACATTTTAAAAGATAATTAATACTGCTAATCTAAGCAACAAAAGGGTCCTAATTCCTTAACCAAGCAGCTGTAGGACCTAACAATGGCCTTCTTATTTCTTATTTACATAGCTTCATCTGTTCTTCCATTCTCAGGAAGAATAAAAACACTAGAAATATGTAAAGGATTGCTAAACAAATTAAATTATATACAAATAATCTATGCCAATCACTCCACACACTCTCTCATCACAATCTTATAAATTTCTACCATCAAAAGAAGATAGAAATCGCCTAAGAGAAGAAAGTCCACTTAGAAGAAGAAGAAGACTCCTTAACGGTCATGGAATGAGCTAACGTCGACCGACCCTCCCCTTGATTCTTCTTACCCTTTCCTGCCATCACCAACTTCGCCCAAAGCTTCCCAGCTCCATTCTTGCTCTTCCTCTTCTCCTCCTTCCCCTTCTCACTCACCTTCTCCACTTCCTTAGATAAAGAAAACGAAAGACTACTCTTCAACGTCCTCTTCCTCCCCTTCAACAGCTGAAAAATTCTCTTTTTATTGCGCTCTTCGTACTGTTTCGGTGGAGACGCGACGGAGGAGGAGACGTCGGAGTCGTATGAGGAATAAGCAGTCGAAGAGGCAGAAGACGATGAAGAACCAGCGTTGTTTGTCGACGACGACGACGAGCCGGAGATATTGGCGAGCTTATCTCGAAGACAGTAGGGACAAACCCCATTTGAGTTCTTGTGAATCGGATGCTTCTTACATCTTCCTTCCTTCTCTGGCCTCCCCATCTTAGATCTCTCTCCTCTCTCTCTTCTCTCCTTGCTCGCGTTTTCTGATCAACTTATAAAGAAGCAAAAGGATTGTTTCGAGGATCCTTCACAGCTGCTTTGAGGACCGACCACGGCAGGTGAATTTCGCGGAAGCAGGTCGGGGCCCACTAAACGAGATTTTAAATTTGAGGGCTTCACCAACCGTTCCATATTGATCGACACGTGGGGACGTGAGATGGTGGGAGACGTCTGATGAGGATCCAACGGTTGGGCTCGTGGTTGGGAGGGAAGGCGCGGCGGCGGACCACTGGAATGTGGAAGGGTTGGCTTTTCAGCTTCACGTACGCTTCACGTGCGGAAGACTGCGTGGTTCACACGTGCGGTGGTAATGACGACGCACGCGCGTCGGGTTTACTGGTTTGACTTTCTTGTAACTGAAAATTTATTTTGAGGGGATATGGCATCCGAAGGCCTATTAAAATGCACCATATCATCTTTTTTGCTCGGTACTACTCCGCATCGAGTGGTGTGATGCATTCTGATTGATCTCTGTACCGTTCGATGTCTGCACATAATAATTTCACCTTGCAACTGTTGTGGTCCTAACAATGGAAGTAGGGTTATTTGTTTGCCCTTTGGTAGGAGAAATTATTTTGTGCGGACACCTAACAATTTGGAGGTGAATCAGAATGTGCCACATCATCTGGTATATAGCGGTATACAGTTGCAATACATAAAAAAATGACGTGAAGCGTTCTGATATTCACCTTTGGAAGGCGTCCATATTCGTACAAAATAATTTTACCTTTTGTACAACTTTTTTTATTGATTTTTAAAACAATATTTTAGTATAGATTTTTTTTAAAAGTTTTTAAATCATAACATTGATTTAAAAAGTAATAAGAAAACTGTGTCAAATAAAATCGTAGTGGATAGCGGGTGTGGGTGTGGAACAATTATTACGTCCTCTGACCTGACGTAGAG